ATCCTAACAATACATTACCCAAAAATGACCCTTCATCTCACGTATTCCTGTAAAGGAATTTGAGTTTCTCCTTGAACAGAAAAAAATCTTATCATCTTGCAATATCTTTTCCCAAGAATCACTAGAATTACTTTTCTATGCTAGACATATCAGTTCTTAATTACATGATCAATCATGACAATAACTTATCTTAAGCATGCCTCAAATAGAAGCTGAGGATCATCTTCGTTTTTAATAATTTCATTATGTTCATTTATATGAATATATTTATGTTGCCTATAGTGTATAAAGTGCATCAGGGCAACAATACATTTTGTGAAATGTACTCATTTCTGAAAATATCTGGTGTGATTGTGATCTTATATTTGTAACTGAAGCCAATCAACATTTTGTACTTCAGTAACACTAACACTATCCCATCCAATAGTTAAAAATGAGGTCTTTTCTACAGCCAACAGAATTTGGTGCACTGAAGACAGTCAAAAAACATGTATTAAGAATTATAGTCTATTACTCAAAACAGGTACTCACAGAAGATCACTACCATCACATATTCTCCCATGACTGCAGACTTTAAAAGAGGTCTCTTGTTAAAGGGTCCCTCTGGGTCTACCAGCCATCAGACAGACAAGTCACACACCAGTCTCCTTATTTTTCTTTTGCATTTTACTTTCTGTGTCTCCTCCTCCTCAACCCAGCTTACCTCTTCCATCAAGCTGCGCCCATCATCAGTGAAAGGAGCATTGTTGTCAGTACCAAGCATCTGTTGCAATTTGGCCTTTTTTTTCTCCTTGCGCATGACAACTTCACCATCTGTCACCTGAGGAAGGCACGTCATTGTGGTGTAGGGTTGGGGAGGGCAGGATAAGTCAAGGGTAAGGATAAGGATGAAGTTGAAGGTTACTTTCAGGATGGATGGTAATCAGAAAGGCACTAGCAAAGAACAGAGGACTAGAAGGATAGAAAAGACACATTATGAGGTTATCAGAGACTACCATCACCTAATGACTTTGGGCAAATTTAAAGCAATCATGTAAATTTCCTTCAAGGACTCTTACCAAAAAGGATTCTAAATAAAATTCTGAGATTTATGTGCTTAACCAGGGAAGATTATAAGAGAAAGCATGAAAAAGGGTCATATAAGGTGTTGGCATGGGGTAGGATATGAGGAAGGATCAAGGAGAGGTGGGTAAGGATATATGCCTTCTTGTGGTGGCTTGCCTTTTACCATTGATAAAAAAAAATATCAGCAATAGTATGCATTATAAATATATAAATAAATAATGATAAAAAATGCCATACTTAGAAGCTAATCATCAGGAGCTTCAATAAACTTTTTTATGAGCATGAAAATGTATATAGGTTTCTCCTGTGACAATATACTTTCAAAGCAGACCTCACAGCATTTCGCAAGCACTGACATTAAAGAAGTCATCCCTGGCATTTCCAGCCATTCATTCCAGCAATGATCCACAAGTCCAAGTAAAAAAGCTAATGACATGGAATTCCATGCCATGAGCTACATGGAACCAGAATGGCAGTCAATTAAAACAAGCACATGGAACGAGAACTTCCCGTTAAATATTGTCATCATCATCTGCAAGCAAACAATGCTATCTACCATCACAATGCAAGTGTGTTGCAAAATGCATTACGAGGCAAAAATCATGTCTTTTTCTTTAAAAGAATTAAGATTGATAATAAATTTCTCAAATTTATGGTCTAAACCCAAGTATGTAATCAGGTTTAATTCAAGGTTGGCTTTGCTTCAGATTACAAGACCAAGGTCTTCATGCCTTTCAGAGATGAATGAAAGATTTATGTCCTCTTGATGTGAAGTTAATCTAGTTGCTGTTAATACCAGTTATTTCTATACACTTGTAGTTTGTACATATAATAAATTGCAATGTACTTCAACCTTTGAAAGAAATCCACTGATTAGCTGAATAATATCTTCCACTGACATAATTCCAATTTTCATAATCATTTTTAAATCAAAATACTTCTGATATTTGTGCTATACCTAGACACTACTAAAAAGTAATATATCCATTTCATCATTATATACTCTACTTCAGATTACAATGACACACTAAAAAATTGTTTTTAGGAATGAAGTAATGTCATATCCTTCAATATTTTATCAGCACATATGACAGCATGAGTATTACAATAGTTCAGCTTTTTCAGGAAGTATACTTGTATTCTCAGAGCATAAAACTACTGAAAAAACACTAAATACTTGACAACACTCAAATCTCTGAAAGCTGAAAAATGATATTGGACTACTGCATCAAGATAATCTACAATCAGATACATCTTTACAAAAAAATATCAATCTGACCTAACATGAGAAAAAACTGTCACTACTACAATTTACTCTTTTAACTCCAGCACTGCTGTTTTCAGAATAAGTGCATCACTGTAGACAAAAATTAAGGCTAGCACTTTTGTGATACCCTCATATACAAAATTACAATGTATACTTTTCTAAAATCCA